ATCTACCCTGGGAGATTCTAGGGAGCGGCTATCCTGAATCTCTTAACTCTTCTCATGCTTCCCCTGCGGACTGTGTTGCCTCTTACCTCCTCCCCGCTCCTGGATTTGCCCCAGTTTGGCTTGTTGCTGTTCCAAAGTGCAGGTTTGGTATCTAAGCACGCCCGCTGTGTGAGGTGCCTGCCTGTGTGTGTGATGTGTGTGCACACTTTTATCTGAGCGTGTATTATGTGTGTGTGTGCGCACGTTGTGAGTATATTATGTCTGTGTGCACCCGTTTATGGGGGGTGTAATTTGTATGTGTGTGCGTTTGTGTGCATCCGTTGATACATGCATGTGGGAGTGTACTTGCAATGATATATGTGCATGTGAGTGTATCTGCATTTATATATGCATAGGTGTATACCTGTATACCTGCGTGCACAATACATCCCTCCCCCATATATATATATATATCAGAGAGGATTGCTTAAGAGAGCTGCTTGACCTCCACTTGGGGGAAGGGGGGGCCCTATTCTGGCAAAGGATCTTGGGGGGGGACTTGTCATGTGTTGGTGTGGTGGGGAGGCTTCCTGGCTACCTTCTTTGGGGGAGTTTGGCTGAGTTGGTTGCAGCTTCACAGCTTTACTTTGCATGTGAAGCATTTTGGGATTTTGTTCACACACTTGTCCTTGGTTTTTTACAGCTTTGAGGGCAAGGTGGGGTATGTTGCAATAGGGGGATTTGCACATGGAATCCTTGTGGGATTCCCTCGTGTTGGGAGTTTGTGTTGTCGGATTCTTGCAGCCTCATCGTAGGTAAGTGGGTGTGGAAGTGTTGAATGGGATGGATCCTCACTGTTTACACTGGAGGTTTTGATACGATCCCAGAATTCTTGCTTTTGCGTGAAGTCTTCCTCTTCTTAATTGTGAGGTATTTGTGTGTGCTTGTTCTTTTGTGTGTCTATGTGTAGACTTTTAGTTCTAGGTATTGGGTAAATTTATTTAGAAAAATTCTTTTTGGTCATCAATAAGATGGGAATTCAGATGGTTGAACATTGTAAAGTGGGAGTGGCTCTTGACCACACATTTCCATAGTTGGAAACTTTGATAGAAGTTTGCTAGGTAAACTTGATTTCCAGGAACTATTGCTGGGTGCTCCCAGCTTGATCACTATGTACATGCTGAAGATTGATTTCTTGGAATTACCTCAGAGCTGCCATATATCTTGCATAAAATATATTTCATTTGTTGGGAGTAGCATAGTGTGCGATGTGCACACTCTCATGCATAAACACACACGTGTTTTGTTTGATATACAAATGTTGGAAAACTCTCAGCCAATCACTGCTTCCTAGCGTGTCCACACACCACAATAGATCATCACACATGACAGATTACATGTGCTTTGCATGCTAATTTTATATTTAAATGTAGCCTTTGGCTCCCATATGGCAAAAGAGATTCTTGACAATCAGGTTACCTGTCTAGAACTGCCCTAGAGAGAGGCGCAGATCCTGAGCAGACAGTTTTATGAAAATTGTTAACAATGTTTGTTTTAGTAAGCCACAAAACGTAAGCTCCCATGGGCCTGTTCTTTTTGCAGATCATTTTGGGCTGTATAAAAAAATAGGAGAAAAGCTGTGCTGTATAAGACTTAAAAGTACATTCAGTATCGTATGTCCTGCAATGGCCAGCCAGAGGGGAAAGCAGGACTGTCATCTCATTATATTACTTGGAAATAAAATAAGCTATCAAGGCTGGTAACTCTGTGTGGCTTTTTTCTCATCTAGTGGGAATAAATAGCTTGCCTTCTATTTGTCCCTGAAACAAAACTTTAAGCCTCAGAGGTGTTGTTTTTGTTATTATTATCATTATGATTATGTATAAGGATTCTCCTTGTTTTCCTTTTCCTATCATCCTTGGATCTACAGCTACTTATCACTCATACCATGTATCACTTCCTATTGAATTGTTCGGAGTTTGATTTATTTTTTATTTTTTTGGACAGAATAAAAAGCCAGCCTTCCCCAGCTTGGGGAATTCCAGATGTGATGGGTTATGATTGCCCATCTGTCCCAGAAATCCTGTTAGTTGGGGTTCAATATATGTAATAAAACTTAGCTACTTCCCTGTTAATAGACTGTCAGAAACAGCCTTAATCTTGTCTTCTTATGAACTGTGGTCTTCCTGAACTATTAGGGCTAAAATTCCCAGAATCCCCAGCTATTTCAGCCATCAAGAATGGAGGAGAGACAGGGAGAGTGTCTCACAGCTTTTGAATGTGGGTGTGCAGCTGGAAGGCTTTTAGAGACTGGGACCTTCCTCCTTGTGTTGCAGAGCGAATGGTTCACCTGCTGAGAGTCGGTGCTCTAAGACCAAACCACTAGGGGGCAATAGCAAGATCAGATCTCCATCTGACTGAATGAAGGGGGGCTGCCCCCAAAATTTCACAGCATTACCAAATACACCACTTGGAAACAGCATCATAATTCCAGCTGTATTCCCAATGGCGTTTATACATTAAAAAAAAAAACAGCTAACCTGATTGATACCTATCTAAATAAAATTGGCTTTAAGTAGAAGAGAAGCAAGTCAGTATCAGTCGTTAAGTCGTGTCCGACTCTTCGTGACTCCATGAACCATATTGCGCCAGGCCTTCCTGTCCTTCACTGCCTCCCTGAGTTTGCTCAGTTTCATGCTTCAGTTTCAGTATCGGTACCAACAGTTAGATGTAGACGTGTGCAACAGAAAAGAGGAAAACAATTACAAAAGCAGGACACGAGGGTCTTCATGCGAGTGTTGCCTGCATCTTCCCCTTCTCAAAGCATACTTCCAGAATTATGAGGGCAAGACATTTGTCTCTAAGCATTTTTTGACATTTTAAGTGTTTTTTTAACATGTTTATGTGTAAAGCTAATGTTTTGTATTTGCGAAGCTAGAGTACACATAAGCTTTAGTCCCCTTTTTTTCAGGTCTACCTTACAATAATTCTGAATCCCTGTTCTTTGAAGGAAAATCATTCTCTGTGCTGTCTTTCTGTCAACAGTGAGAAGATGTTGGCTACAAACTTCTGGGAAGACCTACCCATGGACTGGGTGCCTGCTGTCTTTTAAGAAGAGAAACATTGCAACGGCACATACTGTGATGGACCCTCAGAATACTGCTATGTTAGGGTTGGGCTCTGGTTCTGAAGGGTTTTCTGGGAAAAGCCCCTCTACAGTTGCCACGGGTGCAACAGGAGTTAGGAGAGAAACAGAGCTAGATGGTAATGCAAAGGAGGAAGAGGAGGAGAAGAAGAGGAGTCGTGAGAAGAGCGGCAGCGATGGGGTTGGCAAGGATGGAAATCTGTCAGATGCCCAGCAGCAGTTTTCTGTGAAGGAAACAAACTTTTCAGAAGGGAATTTAAAACTGAAAATTGGCCTCCAGGCTAAGAGAACTAAAAAACCTCCCAAGAATTTGGAGAATTATGTCTGTCGTCCTGCCATAAAAACCACTATTAAACAACCCAGGAGGGTGCAGAAAGTTGTGAAGATGAGTGAGGAGAAGAACGATCCTGGATCTGCAAAGCAAGTGAGTTGTGCTTCTGTTTAAATTCTAGTTTGCTGTACAGGATCTGCTTCAGGACTGTGTTTTTTGTTTTTTTTTAATGATGCAGGACTGGCTTTCTGTTTCTCTTTCTCCCTCTTCAGTCTCTCTCCTCCCCTTGTCACAACTGTTTCACTTTAAAAACCAAATTGATGTTGGCTGCGCTCGTTCTATATTCTGTTTTAGACTGACCTGCAATCCAGTTTTGTAATTCCAAGAGTCCCATTCTTAGCAATAGTAACAGAAGAGATTTTGAGGGTTAAATGTGTTTGCCCAGCATTTATCTTGTTGCAGTTTTTATAACATTGTAGGGCTGGTTGGTATTATCCCAGTATTGTGGATAAAAATGCAGCACCTGAGAAGAGGCTGATTTCCTGCTAAGTTCAGGAGAAAGATGAAATTTAGACAGACAGATTCTTGATTTGTAGCTCAGGCTCTTAACCATTGATCAAGTAGCCCCAGATCTTGGCAATTGATCAGGGTTTGGTTGATAAGAAACGCAATTAATGGTTGATAGTTGTCTCTCAAAGACAGTTGTCTATGCTTTCCAGTTGCACCTGCAAACGAGCATGATCATGCTGCTTGAAGAACTAAGATAATCTTTCTTTATTAAATTTATATTTCGCTTTTCTTGATATAAACTGTGTGCATGCCCTGCTGTGCTCATAAGTTTTGACAAGCAACAAGACCTAGTTTAAAGACAAATGCTTCTTATGATGCGCGTTTGTTTCCTAAAGACCACCGGATAAGATGCATAAACTGTAGAGCTCAGTGGCAAGTGTGTATGTATATGGAATTAGAGCAGGTGGGAGTTGTAAGAGGAGAAATGTAGTGTAAAGAAGACAGGGATGATGTAGCGTATATCAGTTCATTGTGAACTGCAAGAGTTTTTTGGTAGTTGACTAGCAATAGAGATCATTTCTCTGGGGACAGGAGATTGTGAAAGCCCATATTCCAATCATTGTATTTTGAAGGTCAATGGGGAATTGTCTTGTAGAGGCTGAGTGTGCATATGTGTGTGGTAAGGTTTAAAACTCCATTCTGACCTTTCTCCCAGGTGACATTGGTTCACCTTCAGAACTCCACCCATGTTCATTCTGGCCTCACCAAAATACCCATGTCTTTGGAAACCTGGATTTCAGATATATTGGTAAACAAATGTCTGTGATACCTTCTGATTGGACTAGAGTTTATCTCTCCCTGCTTTCAGCGCCCATCAATTTATTTTTGTTAAAGTAATCCCATGGTGGCATTTATCTAATGCTTTCATTTGTGTGCCTAAAATGTTTTTCATACTTCAAAATTACTGCAGAGTCCTTTAAAAGTTAATATTCCCATTATAAAGATTGGAGATGTGAGAGGACTTTGTCCGAGCCATGCATTCCTAAATTGTCAGGTTCCTTTGAGCTTTGAATGATTCTTTGATCGTATAAAATGAAAAGTTAGATTCCAAGTATATATAGATGACAAAACCAGCTCCATTGGAAAAAGCTTTTTTTTTAAATACAAAAAAAATACATTTTTTTAAAAAATACATATATTTGTGTTCCTTTTCTCAAAACAGCTTAATTGTGTGAGCAGTTTTGAACCCATGCAATTGTTTATGCTTTAAAGATACTTTGGGAACTTTGCTAGGACATGACAGTGTTCTGTGATTTTTAGTGAGTCTAAAAATATCAGAAAATCCAGATGTTTTAATTCCAGAAATGAACCACCTGATAAAATATGCCCACCAGCTTCTTGTGACTCTGTAGACAGTTTTTGTTTAATTGCTTTCCATAATTCATGCCTCTAGCTGACGTTTCTCCATATAAGCTGGACCAGCGCTGCTAGCAGGCAATCTTCAAACTGCTGCAATACGTAACTATGCTAAAATTAGCCAAATGATTTATCTTCTGTACCTGTAACCGGGCCATTGTAGGAAAGCAGGAGCAAAACTCCGATTCCTCCGCTGTTACAATTTCAGTATCTAAGTCCCCCAGCCAAAAGAACCAATCCATATCTTGTCCTTTAAGGATAGCGACATCAAAATGGGAATTTTGTCAGAAAAGGCAAAATACTTGCATTCATCCCTTTTTTCTTTTGTCCAGCATTCTCTATAAATATTTATACTGCCCACCTGTTGAGACAGGGGTCTGTCTTTCTCTTCATTATTTTGCAGAGCAAGGAGAGGAAACCTACCATTCTCCAGATGTTGTTGGATGGTCACCACCTGTTATCCCTGAGCAATGTCTGTTTTGGCTGAGCGGTTGTACTTTTGCATAGCAAGAGCCATTTTAGAAGAGGAATTGTGTCTTTTTCCCCCACTCATCTGCTAAGAGGAAGGCCTCTTCTAAAATTAGAACAGTCTATCAGATCAAAACATTAGCAGTGTGATTTTCTTGATACCTCTTGTTGATTGCATATAAATGTATCTCCTACGTGATGATTTGGCATGTAAATGTATGGGAGAAAGGCAGATTTAAGGAACGTATGCATAGCCCTTATCAAAGAGAAATCATAGTGTTTAGCATAGACATTTTAGGAAAAGCACGAAGACAGTCATTACAAACACAAACAGTTAATAAAACTAGTAGGCTGAAATCTAATATGCCTGGAAAAAAAAGGGTTGGTTGATACCTAAAGTCGCTCTGCAGTGACAAATTTGAAATAATAAATAAGTAAAGAGTAACAAGAGTAGAAACCAAGCAGGCATCTTGGGGAATAAATTCACCAAACAGAATGCTACAGTTTCTAATGTTCTTTTCTACACACCACTTACCATTATTTGTATGGCCCCCTCTGGTGAGCAAATTTCTCCTCCAGGGATGCTTCACAACAAACTGTTTATCGGGATGTTTCCTCCTTTAAATCACAGCCATGGTCACGGTTGAAATTTGAAGAAGAAAGGAAGGTTAAATAATTTTTTTTAAAAATCTTTATTTGCAAAGGATGGTTCACAGGTAACGTTCTGGTCATCTCACACTTCCGTGCTATTTTCAGAATGTTTATTTTCTGTGTTGTGAACCTCAGGGGCAGCAACTTCCCTTTTTCCTCTGCTTGCTATTTTTAGAAGTGCTTTATAAGTTATTAAAAGAAATAACAAGGAATTTTAATACTAAAGTTGGGGATATTGGCGTAAGTGGAGTCTTTTATTAAAAGTGAAATTATCTTTTGAGTGTAACACCCAGAATGCTTCTGAATCTTTATCTCTTGACATAATAAGCCTTCTCCTTGTCATGGGCTGTCCAAATATAGGGAGCTTTCAGTCTCATCATTCCCCGCTGGCATGATGTAGATTGTAGTCCCAGCACAGCTAAAAGACTGACTTATGCAGCATATCACTACAAGATGCATGCCCAAATTGCAAAGTGCAGCAATTTGCAGCATAAGTTGCGAAGTGTGAGAAATGCGGGCGTGCACCTACAATGCTAAGGAAAAAGAAAGCTGCCTCAGGCCGAGGATTTTGTGTGACATAATAGGGCAGTAAGTTGTCCAACAGTTTTGTCAGAATTATTCATTGATCCCTAGGGCTTCTTTTGATTTATTTATTTGTTTTGCCTAAAGTGAAATTTGCTAACGATGAGCAAGTCTGCGATGGAGCTAAAAGTAGAATCTGGAGCTTGCGTGATGCAACAGAGCTTGATGGATTTGCATAGGTCTCTTTCGGTTTTGAGGGGAGCGTGTTCCACGCGGAAGGAAGTCCCAGCCTTCTGGTGCATCAAGAAGCGTAAAGGGTGGGCATCTGAGAGGTCAGGGGAGAGAGGAAGTGGGCCATACAAGAATCAGTTCTTGCCAGATTTTATATACAAGCCTACCTAGAGTAGCTTTTCAAATGCTGTGTGGAATTTTGGGGGTGGATTATTTGTTTGGTATGATTGGTCAAGTATATATGCACAACAGTTGGAACGGGGTGGGTCAAATTATTACGACTAAGTTTTATGTCCTGTTCAAGATGGCTGGTTTACCCCTTGTCCCCATGAGACAATCCCGTGAGATGGGTCGGGCTTACAGGTACTAACTGGCTCCAAGTCAGCCAGGAAGCTGCCATGGCTGAGGACGGGCCTGAATGTGGATTTCCATAGTCTTAGTCCAGCTTCTCGACCGCTACACCGCACTAGCTGTCCACGAATTACCGACTGCTTTTATTTCCTGTCCTTCCTGCTTTTTACTACTGGAGGTGGCAGCGTACAGCAATAAAATGTGTAATCCTGAAGGTCTTAGGCGTTTTTTTCAGATGTCGACTGCTACAGTCATCTTGCTTCTCCTAAAGGTTTGCAGTCAACCTGTTCTCTCTGCTTTTATTTCTAAATTGGTAGCTACCCTGGTCAAGCTTGATTCGAGCTGTACCCCTCTCTAACAGTGCCTCAGTCTGATCACGGAGATGATATTGGCTGCTCAGATTTCCTCCTGAGGGACAGAACTTTGTATGTCCTCAGAAGTGCTCTCAGTGAAAGAGGCACTCCAGGGCTAGGCCCTGTTTCAAATTAAATCCCTGGAGAGGAGAGCCGGGGCAGCACGTGGTTGCCAAAGCACTTCTTGTGTGGTTCTTCAACCACAAGGGCTAGAAGTTTGCCCTTCAGGAAACCAGAACAAAACAGGCTCAAAATTTGTCTCCCATCTGATTCTTGCACATAATTGCTCACATGCTCACCCTGGCTGGGCTTTTATTACAACCCACATCCACTGCTTGCTGTCTGCATACCAATGCCTCTGACCAAGGCCTCACCGTTTTTTGCCTCCTTTGTCTCCGTTAGTAACATGCTCAGCCGTGCTTGGTGGGTTTGCTTCCTTGGGAAATCACGATCCAGGAGCTGCGGCAACGGCAGAGCAGCGAGTTGCTTTAGGCACAGATGGGCAAACACAGAGTCCCTGGAATATTCCACCTATTTATAGCCAAACCGTGTTGAGACTATTCCGGTCTGTGGGATGATATGGAGGCCCGAAGGTGACAGCAGCCAGCTCTGCGCTGACAGCTGTAACGTGATGCAGTTGAAGCAGTGAAA